GCGGAGGTAGAGCCGTTGAAATTCGATTCCTTTCAATTTGATGCTTTCCGAGTCGAGCGAGACTGTTCGGACTACTTACATAAAAATAGGGAAATATTTATCGCCAGCTACGTGTCTCTTCGATTGAGCACAGCGAAACACTGACCACCCCAATTAACGCCGATACGATGCAACGTGGTTTTTTCTTGATACTAGAAGGGCTCTCAATCTTTGAGTTGGGAAGAATAGGATAAAACGGAACGGGGATTGAGATACAACCTCAAAATGTTGAACATGAATGTTTTTCTTAGATAACAGCTGCAAATGAGCTGATATCGTGTAACATTAGACCAAACGGTCATCACATTTCATAATCGACCATAGATAGATCCGTGACTACAAGTAGAGTGCATGCGTGAATTATTGAAACATACGATAAGTGACATTCTTTAACAAATTTGATCGTGCAATCGAATAAAAAAGAAATGCAGAGTAAATCGATTGCTTAACTCTAAAATGCACTGAATGAAGGGTTTTGGTCGAACTAAATTAATGTTGCCGCTTGATCGATATACATTCTCATTTGCTTACCACAGTATGTTTACAAACAGCGGAAATTAATTGCACACAATTTAACAATAATAATGTTAATCACACATGATCCGTATTGCACAGCTACCTACACCGTGTACGTATACACTCGTATTCGCGAAACATAAAACCGCTATTTTATAAATTGCCATGATTTTAGTCTCGTTATATCTGCCTGGAATACATTTAAATTATTCAACAGACAAAGAACAGGGAAGCGATTTAGGTCTCTTCATCGGTTTTTTCCGAAACTAGGCCGCTTCCATTAGGCCTGAAAATGCAAACAGGATGCAGCGACGGGAACTAAATTAGCGTCGCAACTTTACTTATCGGGTCATAATTAATGCTTACTTTGCGTTCACCGGCTACTGTAGCAACGAAAGTTTGTAGTACCGATGCTATAGCACTTCGTGCACTCACTCATTTTTCTTTGTTCCCTTCTCGCTCGCTGGCTAATGGCATGGGTTCGCTCGAGAATAATTTTCAAGAGTAGAGTTTACAGCTTTTGTATAATCAAGTAGACTGTTATTTCAAGAATAGAGTTTACAGCTTCTGTATAATCAAGTAGACTGTTATTTCAGAGTAGGTTTCTGCGAGACATTCTCTTGGGACTGGAAGTTCCAGCTCGCTCTTTGTTGCTCAATATGACTGCGCCTGTTCGCAGGTCTAATACTCAGCACCCCAGGTGATACGTTGACTTTTCTGCAATGTTTTGATAAATCGCGTAACCTATTTTAGAGACCAACACCTAAAACTTTCCGACAGCGTTGGTCGACATTGTCCGCAGCTGTCCAAAATCGTAAATTCAATGATCCCTAAGGGTAAGCCGCGACTATTTAATAATCTATAAAAAAAATCTAATAATCTACTTTATTTTATCCGAATAAAAATATTTCTTTCTTCAGAACATAACTATAGCAAGCGATTTAAAGGCATAAGTTTATATTGGGTTGTTCTGAAAATCGTTTCGTTCTTTCACGAGAAAATGAAAGACGATTTTTTAATGTTTAGAGTAAAGAATCTTTCTGACATTTTTCTGGTAACTTTGAAAACATATGCTCACAGAAGTCTTTTTTTTTTTTTACAAAATACTGGAACAAGTGTTTTTTTTAACACCCTTATAAAACGAAATTTTTTTGAAAAACGAAACAACTTTCCGTACGACTCGATATAATTAATATTGAAAGAGTATCAGTGATATAATAAAACTGTAATGAACAGCAGCAAAGAGGGGACTCCAACCCTGAAAGTAGCCCCCATTTAATTATTAGTACTGTGCAAGCCACTTTTCGAGTCTCCTAAAAATAATTCAGTGCCGAAGATAGCTTCTCGAAGTAACGCAATCAAATCAAGGAGCAGAATAAAACTGAAGAAGCACTAATTTATCTTCGAGTAGCCGTAGAATGTCGTGGCGATGGCGAAATGGTTCTAAAGAGATCCTGGCGACGTGGCTTTAGAAATCAACAATGTGCTCCATTCCAGCGTCCATTAAGAGTTTGTTGAATTGAGTTTTCCATTGCTTACGCAGCTGACGGTGTGCAGCCTTGTCTCCCAAGTGATATTTTTTCTTTCAAACACTTACCAGACTAATGGAATGCATGTAACAATTGTTCTGTCACAGTCGACGTAAATATAATAAAATTAATACCAGTATGGAGGCAGTGAAACAATAAAATGAAAGAATTATTGGTCGAATTAAAAAGGAATCGAAACGTAGATTTTTAGGCATTTAAGAAATATGCAAGTATTTAAAATGCAATTAAATATCCATATTAACAGAAATTAATTACGTTGTTGTCCCATGCTCACCACAAGGAATTTTCTAGTTGTTATAAGAAATCATTTCCTTTTTCAGATTTTTATTAAAAAATTCACAAAAATCCGCAATCCAGTTATGACTAAAAAATAATTGCAAGAAATTAGAGTTCCATAGAAATTTATTTCTTCAATAATTTCCGAACAGTACAATAGATCTTCTGATCTCTTTGTCGTACAGTGTTCCATTCGTTCATTTTTGCTCGAGTTGCATGAAATCCGTAATCCAATGAATGCTGACGCCAATGACAAATTGAAAGACAATTGGACCAGAGTGCATGTACCATCTGTTCACTTTTTCGAAACATTTCAGCTGGCAGTTAAGATTATATTGTCATCAATACGTCAATACGGAATCCTTCGATGAATCTTCTGAGAAATTACTCCTTAAGCATGGATCTTTCCTTCTCTCTCTCTCTCTCTCTCTCTCTCTCTCTCTCTCTCTCTCTCTCTCTCTCTTTTGCGACGCTACCGGTGTTCTAACACGCGCCGCACTTATAATTAACCGTTTCACGGGGTTATTAATAAAATTATCGAGGGCGTGTGACGATGATGTTTTATTGATCAGCAGAGAAAGCACGATGAAACGTATCGCAGGAGCGGAACATCTGCTCGCTGGAAGTACGTGTGCGTGTACATCTCTGGCAAATTATTGTCGGCGACGCATTTCGCGTTTTGAGGATCGACCGACCGACCTTGACACTGATCGAATCATTTAAGCGGCCGAATTTTCGCGGTGACGCTGTCGCGCATCTAATTTAGATGCCACGAGTTCCAAGCTGGAGTTGACCCGCTTCCGCCCTAATTCTAATGTCTTAATAACTAATGCCAATCGCGGTACCACGGGAATTCTCGAGGCTACGGCGCTGGAAACAACAACATTGGCCTTTCAATATCGGTCAGGTGACTTCTGTGGTCCCGGGGCTTTGCGGAGCGTTGGACAATTGGGACGATCTGTAACTCTGTGTCGCGCTTCAGAACCGGGTATCGAAACTAGGCGAAAGATATTTCCGTTTGTCCTTTGTGTACTGTTCAGGAAATTTCGACATTTGTATTAGCTTGCAACACACAGTCGTCCAGCTTTTCACAGCTCTTCTAAAGCGGAAATTCGGATTCATATCACAATCTGATATTTTGTAGACTTTCGACAAAAATGACTAGGTAGAAAACAATATTGTCAAGACATTAGAAGAACTTGGGAATATTTTTATATTGTATACGACTTATTTAAATTATTCAAACAGGAAAGACATTTTCATCTAACTTATGTCTTTCACCATTATCGTAGACAGTGTTTATTTCGCATAAAAATCCGCAGTCTAGTAATGAGTCTTGCATTCTTAACTGATTTCTCATTGGTCTGGATTTTGAAGAAGCCTCAGACAATTTTGTGATGATTGTTCCAGTCTCTACTTCGATGTTCAAGTGATACCTTTAAAGCTATCTGCGATAAAAATTTAAATTTGACGCAAAGTTCTGAAAAAATGGAGATTTGCATAGCGCAGGATTGACATTCACTTGCAGGAAACTTTAATTACGTGCAATGATATAAATATAATTTATATCATATATATTTTCATCAATATATATTTCAGCAAGAAATTGTCACGGTTTCCTTAATAAAACGAGCCCTTAAAATATTATAGCGGAATTCAATAATGGCGAAGTTGCAGAAGTTTTAATTGATATAGCGTAATAGTTGGAACTTCGAAACTCGATAGTTATTGCGGTTATACGATAAATGGAGGTAATACGGAACAGCGCTTGCTATTGAACACCATAAAATCTCGATAATTGCTTCCTACATAAAGTTAAAAGTAGTACTGATATTTTTATTGATTTTCCACGCTCTCCCTTCAAAGCCCATCTGTTTGATAATACGTTATTTGCCCTTGCTATGTTAAACAAATTATCGTTTCATAACTTGAAAACATGTTTTTTAAAAGCGTCCAATATTTAACCAAAAATTTTGTTTTACTGGAAGGACTTTAGAAACAGCTTTTGCAATCAGCCATCGCCGTGCTTTATTTTCGGCGTCGCTGTTATTTGTTCTGCCGTTATTCCAACGATTCTCTGTTGTATTTCATCCAATTTCGTTTCCTCGATAAGAGATTAAAGTCTCGATTGTATCAATTTATCTATGGCTCGTGTATTTCACTTGCTGGTACTCGACCATACTCGATATAGCTTTCCAAACAGATAAAAATATCGTGACGCAACATCGAGAGGATATAGCAGTTTTCATAGAAAAATTTGTGATCCGTGGACATTTGTAACTTTCCTAGCTCCCGACGAGACAGTCAAGGAGTGGTAAGTGTCTTCGGAATGGTAACTTCTATTTTTAATTTTGTCGCAGGTGGTTCGTCTTCGCTCGATATTTTCGTGAAAGACTATTTTTCTTGTCACCAGCGACTGTGAATAGGACTTAATGAATACATAAGTTAGACGCGAGGGAACAAATTCGAACAGAATCCCTGGCCAATAAGACGTTCCCGAAAACGTGTTCAGTTTTCTTTAATAGCGTCGTTGATCCTAGAGGCGCGACAGTAACAGTGAAAAAAAACAGGCTAAACAATCTTCTAAATTGTTTGTGTCGTGACACAGAGGCCTCGGAATCGAATCAGCAAATTGCGTCTTTTATTTTTAGCACTTCTGATTCTCTCAACCTCGGTGTTATCGAAGTAATCACGAAAGTTCAGCTTTTATATTTCTTAAAATATAAGACAATTTATATAACAGCCGAGAAATGTTTAATTGCGCATCACAGGAATCATACAGTTAGTCAAAAACGTTTGAGTTAATTCTCGAACAGCTGCTACTGAATTATGTTCACTAGTCACCCGCGAAGCGTCTTCATTAAACTCTTCAGCTTTTTCAACACTGTAACAAGAAGATTATACTAAATAATCGACGGTTAGAGAGATTGACAAAATTGAAACGTATCGTTACTGTTAGAATGATCACAAGGAAAGACATTTTTTTGAATGTTAATTGGTCGTATATGAACGACATTATCTTTTATCAGATAAAGAAACGAAATTGACATATTCGTTTAAATTAAATTTTATTGGAATTAGCAGCACGCGAGCAAATTAATGAAAACAATCAATGTGAATTTTCCAGTTTCGGTTTCCTTAATCAAATTCCGTTGAAGTTGTCGGAATTTTGGGGGAGGGGGAGGGTGTTAAATCAACGTGTTAAACAGGCTTCGGAGAAAATGTATACATTGTCTATCGGTCTAGCAACGAACAATGGAAAATCTAACCGCAGATATTCGCTTGAAGAAAAATTCGCTTTGATGCATCGCTGCACGTGCCGACTCTCGGACTAGTTGAACGAGCTTACGCGCGCGGATGAGAAGCCTAAACGTAATCTCGTTAGCTAACTTTGTATTAGTGACCGACAAACACAAGCGATGTGGGTACTTACGGACAGTTGGTGGCGGTGAAAGGGTGTAATTGAGCGTCCTCGAAAAGCTTTCGGGTTCAGGTGTTCTGCAAAAGATCGGCCCCGCTCTCGGACTCGTTTCGTTATTTCTGGATCGGATGATACACATATACGGCCGGCTATCTTATCGTATGCCGATCAATCGCAGTTGTACACCGCTGTTTCGGGACGTTAACACCGCGATGTTCCGGGATCAATAGGTAGCCCCGTCGGCCCTCTTCAGCTTTGAAACGAGCTTTTATCGGTGGAATATAATGCTCGATTATGCGACCAGCCTGCGCCCGAATCGATTCCTAGGCATTAACGTTCAGCGCAACTGACGGCACGGAAACGTGCGCTTTCTATAGTTAATGGCAACGTGTGCTCTTAGAGCTAATAGAAAATCGGCGTTTTATTTAATTAAGCTGCTTCTTCCAATAAATCGATCCTTTTTGCGTCAATAGCGTGCCGTGCCCATTGGGAAATATGCTATATTTGGATTTTTTCAAACTCTTTCAGAAAATGATATTATAGATGGAAATCAAATTCGTTGGGTAGCAACAAATTATAAATTCAGTTAATATTTTATTTGCAAATAATAATTATATTCTTTGTTTAATTAAAAAATCCTTTAAATAATTCTACATATAATTTGTTTACTGTTTCTCATTTGCAAATAAAATGTTTTTTTTTAATTTGGAGAAAGTAGAAATAATAAACAAATTTTGCTTCTCTTTCGCTTGTTGTACATTATGTAATGAATATTTTGTGCATTAGATTTGCATTTTAAATAATTTATTTAGATCTGTATAATTAATATGTTTGTCTTTCATTTGAACGTACAAATAACAAATAATTTTTCATTTAAATCATCACGTAAATGAACATTTATTTAAACGATCTCCAACTTTTGGTATTAGATCTTATTAAATACTTATTTACAAGTTGAAACCTCTTGCAATACTTACCTAATAATAATACTTTTATTTCGTTTAAATTTCAAAGCGTCTATCATCTATCGTAGCGAAAACTTGATATACTGGGAAAAGGTCGGATAGACTTCATACGAGTTTTCAAGAATATCGACGGCACGGAAGAAGCCTGAACTTGCGAACTGCAGTTCCTGGAACATACTCCAAGTGGTGCAGCGATATTAGGCGCATAAAAAATACGGCTCCATGAAAGATGTTTTCCAAGTAACATATTGCGACTTTACCAAAAGCGAGGAAACATTTCAACTTCAGAATCGCGATTCGCGAAGTGTGCTCCAGCTGTTATGACGTCCAAGTGTAGAAACCTGTGACATACATTTCCAAGACAGAGTCAATCGAGTTCCGCAATTTTTTTCTTGCCGATGTTCTCGTCACCGAATAGAACCAACGAGTGATAATTAATTCGGCGAGTGATAATTAATTCGAGTTTTACGGAAACGCGCACTCTTACGTAACCTGTTATTTCGCGCAACGTGATCTAATTAGACCACACCTCCCCCCCCCCCCCCCCCCCCGCCGTTCCAGCATCTACTGTTTCTACGCTGGTAGCGAATTTTAACGACCCCCTGACACCGTACGTCAACGGTTACGCTGCAAAAGTTCTTTGACCTGGGAAGTTACGACGCGGCGTTACGCTCCAATTTATTACGTTCGGTTGTCGCACTCCCGTATCGGGAATAAGATACTGGCAAGGCCGCAGGGAGTCAACCATAAAGAGTACCCGTATTTTGAATGATGAAAGCTTCCCGTTGCTGTGTGTCGCTTTACAGCTCCCGGGCAAGACTTGGCCTGCCCCAATATCGATTTGCACGTCGCTTTCGTTTCACCTGCACCTGCAGATTTATTCGGCGACCGTTTCCTCGAGTACATATTGCCTTCAGCAGACGTTAAAATCAACATTTGGAAAAACCGGTTTTCGAATACCAGTATTTGCTGGAATAGCAAAGAGGAGGGCTTATTTTTAGAATTGTTAGTTTATGTAATATTTGCGGAACTACAGGAATGTGGCGATACAGAACGGTCATCACCGAGTGACCTATTTGATAATTTGGTAATTTTGTATTTTCGTATGGAATTTATCTTTATTATTCACTACATGACTGTTTTATGCGTTAAAGTGTCACTAACGCGAAATATGTCTTCTTAATAGTCACATTTTAGTTGATTTTGATCTGCTGCCAGAAAGGGTTGCCGGCGTCTGATGTAGAATATATACTGTACATACAACTGCCGAAATAATTTTAATCCTTTACATTCGAAGAAATGAAAGAATTTCGATATATTTTTCACTTGTAGTCGGTCTTTTAATAATTCTCTGGTTTAATTATTTTACAGTTTGGTGGACGACAGATGCGTGGTATGTCCCGAAGCTGGAGACCTATCGAATCCGCCAAAGAAGTTCAGAGGTAATTCCTGTGCCAATCAATGCTAGTTCATAACGTTTTTGGAAATTCTGTTAAGGTTTATGTAGCTTCCGGATTTCACTGTTAACGAGAAATTGGTCTTTGTTCTCGTTTCTAGATTGCCTCTTCAAAATATGTCCCATGAACCGTTATTCTGCCCAAAAGCAATTTTGGAAGGCCGCGAAACAAAGCGCGAGCGGCACAGATGCTGTACTTCTCAAAAGGCTTCACGTAAGTTAGTTCTGGGTGCAATTAGGACTTAAAATTGATCGTACTGCGTCCATTCGAGATAAATGCTTCACATACAATCGTAAATGGTACAGCTACGGTTAAATGCCTGTTCAACACGAGAAATGCTCTCTATCTTTATTTAAAATTTCATTATCGAATATTTATATTTTTCCTTCGTTATGAGAAATGCATAAAAACAAGTAATGTGCACTGTTTAGTTTCCGTATGTGAAGTTTACGTAACATAGATTATGCTAGATAACCTGAATGGAGCTGAAGGTTGCTTAAATGAAGCACAATTACTGGAAATGAACATTAGCATAAATTTTTCAGCACGCCGCCGAAATAGAAAAGAAGCAAAATGATTCTGAGAACAAGAAACTGCTGGGCAGCGTGGTCTCTTACGGCAACGTCGTCCAGGTAAGACCCTGTTGTTTTTCTAATATTTCCCTGTATTTTTACATCGCCCCAGTTACCCGAAGTAAATTAATTTACCTTGTGCTTCACGCCCGAGGAGGTCATTTAAGCTTTGTACATCAAGGCCACCGTTGTTCGCGCAAACCACGTTTGCCCCTTCTTTTCGCGAGGAGAAAATGCAGTACGAAAACAATTTTGGCTTTGAAGAAAAATGCGGATGCATAAGACCGTCTATTGTAAGACAGAGGAGATATTAAAACAGACTGCAAGGACTTGTATTTAAATGCAAAAGTTCAGATTAAAATGTAGAACGTTTCTAGCATGTCACAATCTTAGTTAAGTTTCCATTGCAAAAAATCAGACTGAGGATCTACGTGTTTTTTTTTTACATCTGCGCCAGTTCGTTCTAAAATTGGCACCGAAGACGCAATTATCTTTGCTTCTACCTCGTGAGGTCAAATACAAATTAATTTATTTGGATCGCACTTGGGTTCCCACGAAATCACAGATAACGATTCCATTTACACGCGGCTGTTGCGTATATTGTGTTTCGCTTTTTCAGTCCAGCAGAAATAGTGGCTTCCGACACAGTGTGTATTCTTACACTTAGGTTCGTCAGATGGGTCTAATTTCCTTGTGGTTTACCATTTATCGTAAAAGCAACGCGAGCCGTACGATAAGCGATCGTCAATTACGAGAATCTACTTCCTCTGTAGTATCGAGGTCGCAAATCTGCCGCGGAAGGCGTCGCCGTGACGCGGTTCCGCTTGCAAACACAGAGCTCCAACCCTCGCGAGACCGTGTCCTTTAATTGCGTATTGTTTTAAGTATATGATCGAATTATTAATCGGATCGGTGGCGCCATTATTATCAACAAGAGGGGAACGCTGCGACGTTACCACCGAGTGATACTCGGTCTCTATGTGTTCTCTGCAGAAGCGAAAGGTACTCCCTTGAAACGGAAGAGGCCGAGAACGCCATTAGTCGTCTAATTAACATGATGCAATCATGCAAGCCGGGGGACGACTTTGCCTGAATATCAGGCTACTTCATTAGATCCCACTTTGTCACTGAATTATGGTCTACTTTAAGAATTAATACACTGCGAACATATTGCTGACTTACTTCGGACAGCAATTTGTTATTTTTCTAGGCGGATCTTCGTTATCTTCTGTACCACTATGCACTTTGATGTTCCAGCTTATTAGCCAAGTCGTAAGGGCCCAATTAGACCTATTTTCTTCGCGTGAAAAATTTTGAAAAATGTGCACCTTGTCCCAAATGGCCCCGAGTGAGACCAACGACTAAAGTTTATTAAATGATGCATATAAACATTTTTTTAAAAATCGCTACTGGAGGTAACCATAAGAATACATTTTTTAGGCGCCTCCAGGAAATCATACTTTCTGATTACTTTCTAATATAACCGTGACTTTATTTTTAAAAACGAATAAGACAGGGGATTATTATTAGGAGATCCAGTAGACCAGAAACGAACCCGTATATTATATCGGCCCTGTGATAAACACCTAATCGAGTGCTACAAAGCTGCATTATCTTAAGAATTCATGGAAAAAATATAAAAGATAAATTTTGTATATTTATCAGATAAATTGAACAGATGTAAAAGGATCAAAACCAACATCGTAGAATTTTTACAATAAAAATCTCTAAATCTTAACGTTGAAGCCGTCACAGCAAGAAGAACCCTTAACTTATTTATAGTCTTCTTGCCATCCCTTGTTACGAAAATATTAAAGATTGCTTGACAACGTGTATCCTGTTTTAGCTTCTGCATCTCAAGTCCAACAAGTTCTTGACAGTCAACAAGAGGCTGCCTGCGCTCCTCGAGAAAAACGCAATGCGGGTCTACCTGGATGCAAACGGAAACGAGGGCTCCTGGCTGTACATCATGCCCTTCTATAAGCTTCGCAGCGACGGTGATAACGTTGTTGTCGGTGATAAAGTAATTCTGGAACCAGTGAATGCCGGCAGGCAAGGTCTACATGTTGCTGCCAATTATGAACTGAGCGATAACCCAGGTTGCAAGGAAGTAAACGTCGTGAACACGGCCACCTCGTGGAAGGTGACACTGTTCATGGAGCACAGGGAGAATCAGGAGGAAATACTGAAGGGTGGAGACGTGGTTCGGCTGTTCCATGCTGAACAGGAGAAGTTTCTTACAATGGACGAATACAAAAAGAAGCAACACGTATTCTTGAGGACCACTGGTAGAACTAGTGCCACTGCAGCTACGAGTAGCAAAGCTTTGTGGGAGGTTGAGGTGAGGACAGTCAAAGTACTCTTGTACTTTGTTACTACCTGACCTGGTTTACTGTAATGATTCTGGAGCTAACAGCTTGTAATACTTTAGGGAAGATACAGTGTATAAATGTTGAAAGGTGTCATTACTTTGTAGATTCTTTATATTTGATTAATGATCATTTGTTTGTACAGGTAGTGCAACATGATCCCTGCAGAGGAGGTGCTGGTCACTGGAACTCTCTCTTTAGATTTAAACATTTAGCAACGGGTCAATATTTAGCTGCTGAGATAGACACCGATGAACCACGTGAAATCACGATAGGCAAACGTGGTGAGACATATTTTACACAATTTGTATTGTGTACTAAAAGCTGAAACACAATATATTTTTATTTAATTTTATAGATCCTCCAGGACCAGTGTACAGATTGGTATCAGTTCCGCACAGTAATGAAATCAGCTCCTTATTTGAGTTAGATCCGACAACATTAACAAGAGGTGATAGTTTGGTACCTCAATCATCTTTTGTTAGGTTACATCACATATGTACAAATACCTGGGTCCATTCAACAAGTGTACCCATTGATAAAGACGATGAGAAACCTGTTATGTCAAAGGTATTTTTCATTAAAAACTATAATAATATTAATTTGTTAAACATTAGTATTGCAATGCTCAGAAATATTTTAATATACGTAATTCTTCTGTAAGGTGGGTTGTGCAATTAACAAAGAGGACAAGGAAGCGTTTGCTTTGAGGTCTGTGTCGCCTGTTGAAGTGCGAGACCTTGATTTCGCAAACGATGCATGTAAAGTTTTAGCTGGAATAAGTGGTAAATTGGAAATAGGCACGATCTCCCACAACGAAAGACGAGCTGTTACTAGTTTACTGCAGGATATAGTGTACTTCATAGCTGGGCTAGAGAACGAGCAGAATAAGTCTGAAGCTTTAGAGTTAATTGTTACTAATGCGGTAAGGGACCGGCAGAAGTTACTAAGAGAACAATATATACTCGGTCAATTGTTTAAAATACTTCAGGTACTTTAATTTTTCTTCTTAACGACACTTTTCTTCTTCGATTTGTGGATCTAAAACTTATGATTCGCAGGCTCCATTCTTAGAGTCTGCTGAAGGTGAGGGACCATTTCTTAGAATAGAGGAATTGAACGATCCTAGGCATGCACCATATAAATATATGTTTCGTTTGTGTTACCGAATTTTAAGACTGTCACAACAAGATTACAGGAAAAATCAGGTATTCTGCTTAGATACTAGATGCAGTTCAATCCACATATTATTAATGCAATTCTTATCATCTAGGAATATATTGCCAAACACTTTGCTTTCATGCAAAAACAAATCGGATACGACATCTTAGCAGAGGACACGATCACTGCACTCTTACATAACAATAGAAAGTTGTTAGAGAAGCATATTACAGCTGCAGAAATTGAAACGTTCGTGGGTCTTGTTAGGAAGAATATGCATAATTGGGAATCCAGATTTTTAGATTACTTGTCGGACTTATGTATTTCTAATAAAAAGGCAATAGCTGTGACCCAGGAGTTAATTTGCAAGAGCGTATTAAGTGAAAAGAATAAAGATATATTATTAGAAACTAGGTAAAGTATATAAATTTTCTTAACAGTAATCGTTTCGTTGATACATGTTGATATATAATTAATTTCTTAGGATGATGAAAACTCAGGTTGAGGTAGAGGAACTTGATGAGAAACAAGAGAATGGTGAATCACAGATTACTGTTGTCGAGGAACTAGAAGTATTTCTTCTATGGAAGAATGCAACGGTTAGCATCTATGTACAAGTACAATAATATGTGTCTGAAATTTTTTGAAGTTTCTAATGTGAGCGATGCCATTTACAGAAGTCAATGTCTTTAAATGAGTTATCAAGGGGAGCAAAATTAGGCAGTGTTCAAGATATAGCAATATTAGACTATTATAGACATCAGTTAAATCTTTTTAGCAATATGTGCCTCAACAGACAGTATCTAGCTTTGAATAATTTATCACCGCATTTAGATATTGGTCTTATACTGAAGTAAGTTGAACACGTTTTATTTCTAAAGCGGTTGTGTTAATACTGTATCACAGAAGAAACTTCTAATTCAATATTTAGGTGCATGGAAGATGAAACAGTGCCATATGAGTTGCGTGCATCATTCTGTCGACTCATGTTACACTTACACGTTGATAGAGACCCTCAGGAGCAAGTGACTCCTGTGAAGTATGCTCGCTTGTGGTCTGAAATTCCTTCGAAAATGAGTATTAATGAGTATGTAAAAATGCTAAATTATGCAAGACGAGAATTAATTATACGCGTTAAGAAAGATTTATTTAATGCATTTTTTAATTTTAGCTATGACGCGAACAGAATGCGGGATCAAAATAAAGAAGTCGTTCGTGCTAAATTTAGTGCGACTATAATGTTCGTGGAAGATTATTTATGCAACGTAGTTGCAAAAATGTGGTCGTTTGCAGACCAAGAACAAAATAAACTTACATTTGAAGTAAGAAGATCAAATTACGTATGCACTACATATTATTCTCCAAGCAACATAAGTAGTTAAATTTTTTAATTAATTTCAGGTCGTTAAACTGGCACGTGATCTAATTTATTTTGGATTCTATAGTTTCAGTGATCTGTTGAGACTAACTAAAACGCTGCTAAGTATTTTGGACTGTATTTCAGAAAATGATACCCCGGAGAGAAAGATTCCTACTGGTGATATTGACTGTAAGTTT